TTTGTAACCCCAGGAATAGAGAATGGTACGTCCCAAAGGCTACGGCGCGGCGGTTGGCTCAAAAGAGCTGGGCGTCCCGGGGAAAAAGGCTTTCGCGATCCTCGTGCGCGCAGCCTTGAGTGGCAGCTGAGCTGGTGGCAGGGCTGTGAGCGCGAGGCAGGGAGAGAGAGAGAGGGAGCGCGCGCCGGAGGTTCCCTGCAAGCCGCCTCTCAGGTTAGCAATCGCACCGCTATTTTGCAGCGCAGCGCAGCGCTTGCGGCTCTGGAGTTTTTATTGCATGGAGAAGGGCTTTCCCTTTGCATTTTTTGGGGGGTGACATGATGCGTTCTGCCTCCCTCCAAGGTTGGGGTTTGCGCGGTGGGCTGCAAAGGGCGCAACTGGTGGCATTTTTTGGGGGAGGGGGGGAGGAAGGGAGAAGTTTTTGCTGGATCCACAAAATGAATAAAATTGGGGGAGGCTGGGATAAAATAAAATGAATTTGGGGGGAGGCTCCCAAAGGTTTGCCTGGAAGAGGAGGAGGAGGGAGGCGGCTCCCATCCTCTGCTCAGGATCGCGATGCCTCCTTTTTCTGCCCCAAAAACCAGCGCAACTTCTTCGGTTGGAGAGGCTCCTTTTTGGAACAAAGTGTCCGGGATGATAAAACTTTGGACGCACGCGGAGGTGGAGCAGAATAATAATAATAATAATAATAATAATAATAATAATAATAATAATAATAATAATTCAGTTTTAAGGATAATGACACCCATCATCCACAAAAAGTCCGCCTGGATTTTGGGGTAGTACTTTGTTGTTGTTGTTGTTGTGTGCCCTCAAGTCGTTTCCGACTTTTGGCGAACGTGTCACGGGGTTTTTCCTTTTGGCAAGGTTTGTACAGAGAGGCTGAGAGAGTGTGACTCTCCCAAGTGGGTTTCCGTGGCCGAGCGGGGATTCGAACCCTGGTCTCCGGAGCCCAGTGCGCTCAAAGTGCTGCTCCGCAATGGCTAAGGCGGCTGTCGATGGATAGATAGGTTTCCCTTTGAAGGAGGAAAAGCTGGATGTTACTTCCCTGTGAATGCCCCCATCCTTCCCTCCCTCCTTTCCCCCCTTTTTTCCTCTTGATGGATCCGGTGCTTTCTGTCATGCCAAAAGCTGCTCTCCATAGCACCCTACAAGGGAAGGTGCCCCCAAGGGTTATCCAGTCCAACCCCCTCCTTCCAGGCAGGAAGACATAGCATCCTAGGGTGGGAAGGGACCCCCAAGGGCCATCCAGTCCAACCCTCCTTCTTCCAGGCAGGAAGACATAGCATCCTAGAATTGGAAGGGACCCCCAAGGGCCATCCAGTCCAACCCCCTCCTTCCAGGCAGGAAGACATAGCATCCTAGGGTGGGAAGGGACCCCCAAGGGCCATCCAGTCCAACCCTCCTTCTTCCAGGCAAGAGAACACCATCAAAGTGCTCCCTGTGACAGAGGGCCCCCCAGTCCTCACCCGCTCTGTTTTTTGGAAAGAAACCGAGCCAACCTCCTTGGGTTGGCACCCCAGTTTCTTGTCTGGTTCCCAGCATGCCCAGCATGAGTGGCTCCATCCCAGGGGGACCAGATTTTTCTTCCTTTTCCAGGACCTGTCCTACATTTCTGCCTCCTGTCCAGGAGGAGTCCCAAAAATGTCCTCCATTTGGAGCAGGACTAAGATTTATGAATTTATATAAGTGTTTTTAGCTTGGTTTGGGCATGTCTTCCCTTTGCCCGGAGTGTCCTCCCTTTTTAAGCAGTGCCTTGTCCTCCTTTGCAGGGGTGAGGACACATCTGGTCACCCTGCTCCCTCCATCCCTGCCTCCATCTCCCCACAAATGTGCCCAGGTTTTGGAGACTGATCCCTCTCCGGCTGGGCTGCTGATTTCTCTAAAACATCTCTTGAGATGCCTAGGATCGCCCTCTAAACACGTGAAAAGGGATCAGGCTTCAAAACCATTTTTGGAGAGGTTTGGTTCCATTCTTTGCTTTGAATGTCAGACTCCAACTCTGGGAGAACAGGGTTGCAATCCCAGCTTGGCCATCCCAGAGTGACCCTGGGCAAGTCACACTCTCTCAGCCTCAGGGGAAAGCAAAGACCAAGCCCCCTCTGAGCCAATCTTGCCATGAAAACCCCAGGATAGGTTCACTGCCTTAGGGTTATCATAAATCAGAAATGACTTGAAGGCACACAGTAACCGCAGCAACAGGGTGTATAGGGTTGTTTCCCCTTTGTTTTCATGTGCCTGACAGTCATGTGAGGTTGATAATTCTTGGGAGACATAGAGTGGCTGTCAACTGGTGGAAATCTCAGGTGGGGACTTGAAGAACCCTCCTAAAAAGTGCAATTATTGTTATTATTATGTATGCATTTGGTATTATTATTGTTGTTGTTGTCGTTGTCATTACATGATGATGATGATGATGATGATGATGTATGTGTCTGGAAGTGGAATGAATGCAGGTTGACCAGATGTCCTAACCACAAAGAGGACAAGGCACCACAAAATGTGGGACATTCACGGAAAAGGGAGGACATGACCAAAGAACAGCTAAAAACACCCATAGCAATGTAAACCCATGCTTCTTCGTCATGCACAAAATGGAGGACATTTTGGAAATCCTCCTGGACAGAAGGCTGAAATGCAGGACATGCTCTGGAAAAGGAGGACTTCTGGTCACCTGGGATGAATACTCCACTGGGGGAAATAGATGTGTGTGTGTGTGTGTGTATTGGGGTGGAAAGATGTGCAGCTTGTGTTTCTGCTTGGTCCCTCTGGGGCCATAGCAGGACTTTTCCAGCCAGGCTCCCTTTGGCCGAAGCGCATGGGTGTGCCCAGTTGGACTCCTCCAGTGACTTGTCTCTGGCCACATCTGTGGACTCGACTTTGGCGTCTCTTTTTCAAAGGGATGAGATTTTATTCATAAGCGTCCTCAGAAGGACAAAATGTTCCTGCCTCAGTCAGGATTAGCATGGAACGTCTGCAGGATTGTGTCCAATGGCAACATTTTATTTTATTTTATTTTTTGGTGTTGTGGGGAGGGAGTTGTAAATCATAGGAAGGAGAAGGAAGAAGCAGAACAAATGTCCTCCAGCAAGTTATTTCTGTGCCTTGAAGCCAAGACTAAAAGAAAGGCAGTCGTGTTTCTTGATCTCTTCCTGTTGCATCTCATGAGTGCGCTTGATATTTTTGCAACCAGTGGGATTGTTGTTGGTGGTGGTGTGCATTTGGCAAATGTTTATCTGAGGCTTCAGTCATGCCGATATTTGCTTGGGAATACAGTATTCCCCTTTGTATTTTTGAGTACGAGAGCCAAGTGTGGTGTAGTGGTTTCAGCGTTGAACTACAGCTCATTAAACCAGGATTTAAATCCTCGCTCAGCCATGGAAACCCACTGGATGGCCTTGGGCAAGTCACACACTCTCAGCTTCAACCCCCCTTGTGATAGTCAACTCAGCCTCAGGGGAAGGCAATGGCAAACCTCCTCTGAACAAATGTTGCCAAGAAAACCCCATGATGGGTTTCCCTCGGGGTTGCCATAAGTCAGAAATGACTTGAAGGCACACAACAACAGGTTTAATGTAGAAAGACTTGGACTCCTTATCTTATTTACTGTTGTTTTGTGCCTTCAGGTTGTCTACAACTTATGACAAAGCTATCATGGGGTTTTCTTGGCAAGAGTTGTACAGAGGTGCTTTGCTGTTGACTTGCCCATGGGTTTCATGGCTGAGCAGGGATTTGAACCCGGGTCTCCAGAGTCAGAGTCCAGCATCAAATCACTATGCAACACTATCTCCTTGTTAAATGTAGACCTCATTAAAGTGGCGTAAAGTGGAGCAATGGTTTGAATGTTGGACTAGGACCTTGGGAGATCAGGGTTTGAATCTTCACTCAAGCCATGGAAACCTGTGCTGTGACCTTGGGCAAGTCACTCTCTCTCAGCCTCAGAGGAAGGCTTGGTGATGCTGGTTGGTTAGTCCAAAATGTGGGGTGCCTTTGAGAAAGGCAAAGGCAAATCTTCTCTGAATCAATCTTGCCAAGAAAAGCCTAGTATAGTAAGAGTTGAACTGAAGGATAACTACAACAGTCATTTTCTGAAAGGGCGGGTTGGGTGAGAGGACCTATGTGTACGGAGAGAGGGGGTTCAAAAATATTTCTACATAATCACTGCCCTCTCCCCTAAATTTTCTAGGAAACAATCATTAAAGGTTGTTTGATATTTTGGCCTCTGTTACATTAAATGTCTGGTGTGGCTAGAGAAATTTGGAGTCTGCATGGGAGCTGTTGCCTGCCTGCAGCCTGGAAGGGAGCCTCAGTCTATGTGGAGAAGGTTTGGGGTGGAAAAGTGAGGGGGAGGCATCTTGTAAAAGTTGCATCTTGTAGAAGTTGCTGGACTCCACTGTCCATCAGCCTCCATGGCAATGGATTGGGATGATTTGATTGTGAGTTCTTGCATGGCAGGGCATTGGACTGGATGGCCCTTGTGGTCGCTTCCAACTCTATGATTCTGTGATTAGATTTGCAGTCCAGCAACATCTGGAAGCCAATAGGTTCTTCACTCCTACCTTATAGCCTAATGTGGGTCAAATTTGACCCTCCAGATGTCATTGGACTGCAGTTCCCAGCAGCCCCAGCCATGCAACCCAACTAGATCTGAGAGGTTCTACTTTGCATATGCCTGCTATGACTCATTTGTCACCAAAAGAAGACTTCCTCCAGTTTTCCATTTAGTGCAGTGGAGGCCACTTACATAGGAGAAGGAGGATGGAGTTTCTCTTAACATCTCCCCCTTGGTCCCTTGAGACTGTGAGCACCATCCCTTATGTGGAGAGATATAGCATTGAAGGCAGTGATCTTCATATGAGGCCTTCTATCCTGCCTGTTTCTCCTTTGCAATCCTGTTTAAGGGACATTGTACTAGTTATGCATCCTTGGTGGACAGGCAATCCTATACAGCAGGGGTAGGCAACCTTTCCCCTCCAAGGGCCGAGGGACTTCAGCTCCCAGAATCCCAGGAGCTATTGGCCAACATGGGACTATTGGCCAACATGGCTGAGGCTTCTGGGAGCTGAAGTCCCTCGGCCCTTAAAGGGGAAAGGTTGCCTACCCCTGCTATACAGTCATACCTCAGTTAACAAAGCCTCTGACAAAGAAGCTCCGTTTTACAAAAGTTTTTATATGCTCATTCAACTCCCCCTTTCCTTCACTGTGTTGCAGGACCATGTCTGCAGTAAACAATTCAATAAAGCTTGAGCTGGGAAAGATTGGGATTTTACTCTAGCCAGTCTCACTGTAGCTGTGTGTGCTTTCCTACACCAGGCAAGGTAAACAGCAGCTGCCTCCAGAGTCCCTTACTGAGCATGCATGAACAGCAAAACAGAAAGAGAAGGAGAAAGCAGGTATAAGAATGCTTCACCAGCGATCCATAGCATGTTTGAAAAAAAACAACAACTAGAAGTTGAGCCACCAAATTGGAAATCATAAGAAAAGTGAAAGCTGGTGAAAGAAAAAGTCATCCCTGGATGCATTTTGGAAGAAGTCTTCACATCTCTGGAAGGTTCAGAATGTTTCCATTTACTTATGCAAGGCTTCCCTGACACAATTGTTTCATTTCACATGTGCATATTGTTAATTTTGAATAAAAGGCTTACTGAAACATATTGAACTGCTCTTCTTTTTTTGTGTTGTAGGAATTTACCCCTATCTTTCTGTGTCATTTCTGCCTCTAGTACCAGATTTTCTTTTAAAGAATTAATGCCCAGGAACACATGGACTTTGTTAAAGAATACATACCTGCACTTACTTTTTCTATAGTAGTAACAATTTCTGGTGACTTTCAAGTTGGCCATTTTAAGAGAGAAGATGTTGGATTTGATAGATCATTGCTCCTGGAAGGATTCTTATATTCTTACCTAGAAAGGGCTGGGTTTAAAGACCAAAAGCTTCAATACTAACCCATCTGTTACAGCATAAGCTTTTGTGAACTAGTCAAATACATGAACACTTGTTTTAGTAAGCAGATATATAGATATATGTGGGCACAGGGAAGGGTTAAAATGGGGACCAACAGTATTCAGTAGGCCAAAACCAAAACCTGTGATAGTCTTATATACTACAGAGGTGTGATACTTATATACTGTAATGGTCTTACTGTGCTGGATCCCCTCCCTGCAGTTCCAACTCTTGGGCTCCTGTAACTCCCACTCTTCCCTGTGAGAGCCCTCCCTGGATCTGGTACTTGGAAATCAAGGGGATCCTTATATGGACCAGTAGTTGTGTTGTGCAGTGGGTTTGCTGTGGTAAGCGTGACCAGACTCAGGGCTGATGCAGACCCCACGCCACCGCCCCGATCCTCAATCCTCCCTTTTGCCACCCTGAAAAGAGCGGCAAAACACAGTGCTGGGAGAGCGTCCTGACATCATGTGCCGTGCATATGGCTGCACAGCATCAGAACGATGTCGGGGTGGGCCTCCCCAACTCTTGACTCCAGGCTGGCCCTTTGGGCCAGTCTGCCACAGCCCTCACTATCAAAATTTAACAGGAATAGCCAACAGACAGTTGTAAAAAAAAAAGTAGAAGTTTACTAAAATACATTTAGATCACACTCCACCAAATGCATATGAGGAAGTAGACTGAAGTCTACGAAAGCTCATGCTGCCAATTTCTTTGTTTCAGTTAGTCTCAAAGGTGCTACAAGATCTCTCTACACTTAGATCACACATATGTAAAGTGTTAAATATTTAAGTCTTCATGACTCCACAAAACTGTATTCATTTCTTCCTCCTAGCTGACTTTCCTACTGCAGCTTTCCACTGTCCTAAGCCATCTTTCCCTATCTTTCTGTAATCGTATCCCTATATCTTTGCCATCTTTCCCCTGTCTGCTTTCTGTCAGAGACAAGCCTCAGTTTTGTTTCCTCTCTCCCCCATGGACCACTTTCTCTGTGTTTTGTTTGGCTGGCACCAACCAGGCTTGCCCAGCTTCTCTCTTCACACCTACATACTAAAAAAGAATCATGTAGTATCTTCGAGATTGAGAAAAGGTTTCTTGCATAAGATTTTGTGGACTTCCACCCACCTCACCAGATGCAAGTGGACTGGAGTTTTTGAAAGCTCATGCCAGAATTTTTTTTTTCTTAGTCGAAAAGATGACACACAATTCCTTTGTATCTCTTTAAATGTGCCTTTGAATACTAAGAGAAAACTCATTGTCTGAGTCCATTCTTCACATATGACAGCTTCCATGTCTAAAAAGCACGAAGAGGTTTGGAACATCATCAGAGTTTGCAGAAGTACCAAGCAAAAGGACAAACATCCCCCCCTCTCCAACCCAAACTCCTAAAGAGGGCAGGTGGAGAAAGATGGCAAAATAGCATGCTCTGTGGCTATTGTGAGCTGAACGGCTTTTGGAAGAGAGGATAAGGTCAGCTGGTAGGGGAGAGTGAATGCACTACACAGGAGCTGTTGGCTCTTTTGGTTGCAGATCCTGGTTCTGTGTGAGGCTTAAGATAAGCAATGTGACCATGTCAGCATTGCAATGTTGCTATGTTAGTGCCCATTTCCTGTAGTGGAATACAGGAAACCATTGTTTCTTTTGTTGTTGTTGTGTGCCTTCAAGTCATTTCCAGCTTACGACGATCCTAAGGCATGGGGTTTTCTTGGCAAGTCTCTTTAGGGCAGGTTTGCCATTGCCTTCCCCTGAGACCGAGAGAGTGTGACTTGCCCAAAGTCACCCAGTAGGTTTCATGGCTGAGCTGGGAGTTGAATCCTGGTCTCCTGAGTCATAGTCCAACAGTCAAACCGTGATGCCATGCTCTATTCAATTCTAAAAATCCATTACAAATAAACGCATCTAATTTTGTTGTTTCACACTGGTGTCTTCCCTTTGAAATCCATTTGTTGAAGAATGGCAAGGTTTGGGACAGAAGCAAAATGTTCCAGAAGATGAAATGCTATTTGAAATGGTTTCCAAACGCTGATATTGTGGATTATTTTGAAGTTTCTGCAAACAACAAAACTCCCTACGTCAGCAGTTCTTAAACACTTTTTCCAGACCATTTGAGAATTGCTGGGGTTAGAAGACCACTTAATAACCTTTCTCTTTGGTTGTATGGGGTGAAGTGTACACATCACTCATGTTTTAACAATATTTTTTTCAGCACCAACTTTCTTGACAAAACTAATGCCTTAACTGGCATTGTAAACTGAGCGGTAATATGTTTGGCCACTATTGATTGGATCACGGCATTGCTTCATTTTTGTCCCCATTCTTTCGTTGCAGACTGCCTCTGCACTTGACTGTGGTTGTTTGTTGTTGGGTCAGGCTTATTTTCTATCGGCAAAGGCAAAAATCGTTCAAGAATTCAAAGACAAGTCGGCATTAAAATGACAGTGCATCTGACTGTAGATTCCAGTAGCTATTTCTATTGTCCTGAACAGAAAGACTTTTCTTGTTTTTCAAATCCAGCCTTTTCTGTAATCCCTTATTCATAGGATAGCTGCAGTGTTTATCTCAGCATGAAGTATGCATTAGGAACAAACGAGGGGGAAATAAGAGAAGTTAAAAGGAAGATGTGTGAGGAGGAGTACTGATGTTCAGTAGTTCGCTGAAATTACCGAAGGAACAAAAGCTGCAGTAAAGAAAGACATGTAAACATCATCCAGTCTAGCCCAATTTATCTGTTGATCTTATTTGTTAAAACTATTAAATGTTGTTATATGTTATACATGAAAGTTGCAATCCTATACACAATTATGTTTGAGTAAACCTGCTGAACTTCATGGGATTGGCTTCTGAATAGACATGCATAGGATTGGATTGTATATCAGCCTAGTGAAGCAATTTGTAGAAGCGTACCTATATATGTATGTTAATGAGATGAAGCCTGTGGTTCTCAATTTTACAAACACTTTTCTGTCTGGATTTTGTGCAAGCCAGGAATGTAGCTATTTAGAACACTGCATGGAGCCCCTTTAAAAGCAGTATTGGCTAGTTATTCACATGGGCCAGAGCCCATCAAGTATGGTTTTCATCAAGTATGGTAAAACCTGTGTATAAAGGGAATAAAATGGTTGGAGAGAGAGATCTCCCATGGTTTTTGCATGTGTCCTCCTTCATAACTGTGAAACCTGTCTTGTTAGACGATGTTGAAATTACATGTATTTATTAACATTATTTATTAATATTTTTCTTTTTGTCCACCATGCCTTCCAAAGGGATGAAAAATAAAATATTTTAAAAACTTCAAATGCAAGATGTAATTAGTTTTACTCACCTGCATGATATCTGGAAGGGATGGAGCCACCCTGACTTAGCTTGGGAGGGAGTCCTGCAGCTAAGGTGATGCTATAGTGAAAGTCTTCTCTTGTGTACTCACCAACCTAACCTTTCAGGGTAATGGGACAAGTATGGGGGAACATCTCAGATTCTGGCTAGGTTCCTGATACCCATGCTGGTCAGAGCATTACAAGTGAAAAAAAACAAAAAACACCTCCAGCCAAATTTCTTATTTGCCCTGCTTTTGTGCTTTTAATCCCAGAAATTTAGGAAAGGATGCCTTGGTCAGTACAGTCAGCCCTCGGTATCCATGAATTCTGCACCACCAATTCATTCATCTATGATATGAAAATATTCAATAAAATAAAATTCTAAAAAGCAAACCTTGATTTTATAATAATAATAATAATAATAAATTTTTATTTATAGCCCGCCCCTCTGCGCTGCAATCGGATTTTGCCATTTTATATAAGGGTTACCATTTTAATATGCCACTGTATATAATAAGACGTGAGCATCTATAGATTTTGATATCCATGGGCGGCCCTGGAGCCAAACTTTAGCAGATACCAAGGGCCCACTGTAATTTCTTTCCTTCCAAGATGCTGAATCTGCAGTTTTCTGCATATCAAGCTGCTATAGACATAAAGGAGGCTCCCCCCCCCTTTTTAAAAAAAGATGAATGTTGGCATCCATACTGGAAAAGTGGGTATGTTATTCTGCAAACTATACTTCAGTTCTTTGGATCACTGTCTGGAGCAGCTCCAGAGTACAAATGCTGATCATTCCTATTTTGAAGTGGCAGGATCGTGTAAATCGCGTAAAAACTTTGATTTTTTTCCCTAAAGTCAGCTGCATATTCAACCTGAGTGCCTTTTTAAGGTCACCTAACAATTATTCATGTTTGTTCACAAGTAATGCACCCAGCTATTAACATTCAAGACTTGCACGCACAAGACTTGATTCATTTCCTTGTGTCTAGTAGATCTAGTTAATGTTGGGCTATTGTATTGATAAAAAGATCCTGCAACACCTAGGGCAAATGTCTAGAAATAAAGATTTCTCATCTCACTGTTTTTTTAAGGAGTTGGAATAAGCAAGGCAAGAAACTCCTTTGTGTGCCCCATGTCATCAAGGTTGTTTATTGTATTCTTGCAAAAATGCTTGGGCACAGATTCATCTTTGATATCAGATTTCCTCTGGGATGGAGAGAGGAAGAGAGCGGTCACATCCACTCAAAATGCAAATACAGTGATATGTGTGGAGTAAAGCATGGGATTTTTTTTTTTAAGAACCAAGTCCCAGAATCCCTCAGCCAGGATGATCATTGTCTGAGAAGTTCTGCTAGTAATTATAAGACAAAAAAAGGAAAAAAAGGAGAGAAAAAAAAAACTTTTTCCAAGCTCAGACCTTAAGATATAGCTGGATAGATGACTGGTATCAGAGTTAAACATAGTTAGGGACCTATTAAGGGCCCAGGGGTTTGGAAAGCTGAATCAATAGAAGTATTGGCTGCGTCAATAGAATTATAGTGTCTAGATCAAGAGAAGAATAGTGCCACTCTATTCTGCTTTGGTC